AGATTAGTGCAATTTGACCGTGATATCGAACAAACCGAATTTGAAAACTTGCTGGACTTGAGACAGACCGATATCCCTGTACGTGAGGTGATTCTGCGTTCTCAGCTGTGTCGTTCTGTGATGGACTTGGGTCAGAAGAACATCAACTTTGGGCTTGTCGAGCGAAATGAACGCCATGCCAAGACAATTGTGTTGCACAATCGTAGTGAGACGCCTCTGCTCTACGCTATTCGGAAATCAGGGTCGATCGCTTCAGGAGACATTGATCTGGATGTAGGTCGTTACGGTGTCGTCCGTTCCTACGGTAAGCGAGAGGTTGATTTTGTGTTTGAACCGACTTTGTCTGGTCCGTTCATGGAGAAACTGGTGGTCGAGAATATCCGTGATCGCACCAACGATCAAGTGTTGCTGCTGAAAGCTCAAGTTCGCAAGCCGTCTACTTTCTTGATCAAGTCTTTGGAGATTTCCTTTGGACGCTGCTTGGTAGATCAGCTTTGTCAGCGCACCGAGACTATTGTGTTGACAAACACCAACAAGCAATCTCGCATGTTTGAAGTAAGGGTGGATCCAAATGAGGTGATATTTGGCCGCTACTATGGTGAATTTGAATTTGACGTCAAGGAAGATGACACCAATACCTTGACTAAAGAAGCTGAAGAAGAAATTGAGAATTTGGAGCAAAAGCTCAAGATTGCTAAACGTAAAGCTCAGCCTGATAAAGTCAAAAAGTACCTGCGTAAACTTGCTAAATTGAAGAATTTGGAAAGCGAAAATGAGGGTTCTGATTCCAAAGAGAACATTGCTCCCATCGAATCTCCCAAAACTGGATATGATGTTGAAGCAAAAGAACCTCCATCTTCAGATTGTCCGTCTACTGTCGAAACCAATGCCAAGGATGCTAATGTTAACAATATCGAACCAGCAACATCTGCCAGTAGTATCAAGGAAAACAACGCGATATTCAAAAAGACTGCAGAGAGTATTGTATTTCATCTTGATGCACATGCTTCCAAAACCGTGTCTGTCACTTTCAAGCCTGTACCGAGGCCATTTCAAACACAAGATACCAAGGATGATCGAGAGCTTCATGCCGCCATTTCTGTCAAGGGCCGTATTTTGGTACACGAATATAAGAATACTGATGTATGCAAAAGTGTTGTTTATGCTGCCGAAGTCTACACGAATGAAGCCGCCTACATTGATGCACTAGCTATTGAAAATGATGGTGAAAATACTGGCGCTGCATCAACTAGAGCATATACTGCGTCAATGGCTAGTTCCACTAACGCTACTTCTGCTGCTGCTGCCACTGCTGCCATTGGTGCCACCACCGCCTTGTCTGCGACTATGGTTTCGACTACTGCTACAAAATCTCTTACTGATAAATCTACTGAATTAGCTCATCCTGCTTTGCTTGTTGAAGAGAGCACTACGACTAATCATGGTGAAACCAGCGCTGTTCCTGATAATATCAAAGAGCCTGTAGTTGAGAAAGAAGCCATCAAACTGGAAAGAGACTTTTTCGATGGCGGTCGTGTCGAGGTGAATCAAGATACTGTATTCTACGTCAGGGTTACCAATACATCGGACAAGCCTGTGGAGCTCATGCTGTCCACTGCTCAAGAACCATCAGTATTTTACTTTGATGCCGATGAGGAAGTTAAGGGTCTGCTGCCTGGAGAAACAAAGAAAATTCGCTATGGCATAAAACCCACCCAAGTGGGCAGACAACAATTCAAGTTCTCTGTCATAAACAAGCACACTGGGTCTATACAGCCTTTTACCATTCAGTGTTTAGTTCATTGCAGCACGTATTTGAATTTCCCCTCTTTGGACAATGAGGCAAACGGCATAATGGATCTCGGCTTCTCCTATGTTGATCCTGGAAGCAAGTATTCTCAAGTAACTCCTCTTTTGATTGAGAACAACTCTAGCCAAGATGTTTTTATTACATGTCAAAGTAACTTGTCCCATCAAGTGTTGATATTTATGGATGAGGCTGGTGAGCATGGCCTTGTGGAGATGATGCCTTTGAAGCATAAAGGTATGGCAACTGTTTGGGTGGCTGTTCAGCCTAATCTATTGACGGGATATCTTGGCAACTCGGCTGACGAGTGCCGTAAACTGGTTGGCGGAATAAAATTCTCTGTCTACGAAAAGGACGATTCTGACCATGAGCCAAAAGAACAAGAGATGCTGTTGATGCTGACTCAGACCGTCAAATTCATATCCATCATTGGACAATCCCATCTTGAGGTGTCTGACAAAGTTATTAATTTGGGCTATACTGATCTGCTGCAACAAGAAATCTGCGGCGCCTTCACCATCAAGAACAAATCTGGAGAGCTTCCATTGGATTACGACATTGAATGCTCAAGCGCAAATATTGAATTAGATCGTCGTAGTGGCACTTTGCGTGGATGGCGTAGTCCTGAAATTCACAGAGATTCGGATATCGGATATTTGGATGCGGACGAAAAGAAGCGAAAGGAAAGCCTCGCGAGCCCTCAACCAAATGATGTCTCTGGCAGTGTTGACAGTGTTTGCCGTGGCTCTTTGAATGATTGCAGCTCGACTGCAGCCTCTTTGGCCCAGATCACGTTTAGAATCAACGCATATCGCTATGGACTTTTGAATGAAAAGCTGATTGTGACCAACAAAAGAAACAGCCAGGAGGTGTTTGTGATTCGCGTTCGACTCTTTGTGAATTGTAAAAAGTTGAATGCCTGGACTTTGCCTTTTAAAAGGCGGCTTTTGGGCAATAAACCTCTAAATGGCTATACGAATTCTTGTAAACAAATTGATCATCATGAAGCTGATCCATTGCCTGTTATCAAATGGGAAAGTGTGTACATCAGTCCCGTGGCTCAACAGAGTGAAGATGAAACAGTTTTGCGGATGATAGAGTTACCAGAAGCTGATGCAAACCGTCTCTATGTACGTGAGATCGACATTGCAAATACATCTGGACAGCCAATGCAGCTTGTAGTCATGAGCGATATCGACATCACTGCTGGTTTCGCTGTCAATGAAAACAAAATCAAAAATGTTGCTGTTGAACACAAGGAGAGCCTATTTGCACAACGTAGCGGTCAAGTCTTGTTGCAACCTGGTCAACGAATTTGTGTGCGTTTGCATAACCCATCTGCTGAAAAACTGGATGAAGACGGTAGATATTTAGCGCTCCAAGGCCAAAGCGGGTCCCTGAAAGGCATGATGGTATTGTATGACGCTCATCAGAAGTTGGAGGTTCTTGCTCTTGAATTGGAAGCTTTGTTTTGTGTGTCTCGAACGGAACTTGTTGTGGATCGTATTGATTTGGGTAAAATTGGACACAGCACTTCTTACAAACCTGCTCGCTTTGAAGCTGAAATCCGCAACTTGTCGGATGTACCGGCTACATACATTATCAATACACCCGAGTTTATGAGCTTTACTCCCCTGGATCGTAATGGGGTCGCAATCAAACAAAAGACATTTTATATCCCATCGCGCAAGCATCAGCGCATCGAGGGTTTGCTAACGCCTAAACAAATGCCTGACCAAACCTCTGGGTTACATCGTTTTGATGTTCAAATTGAAAATTTGCGCAATCATGCCAACGTAATGCACCTTCATTTGAAGGCGCTGATGACAGTGTTTGAATTACGGTTTGAACGTTTATCAAGTAACGGCGAATTGGTGCTGCCCACGTTGCATCATCCTATTGCTCTTCAAAACGCACCCTGTGATAACTGGTTTGTGATACACAACAAGACAGATGACGATTTACGGTTTGAAATTGGTGCTGATATCACGCCCGAATTGAGCTCCTACGTTAATTTGGATGTCTTGTCTCGCTACACTAATTCTCCTCTCAAAGGTGATATTGCAATTGGTCCTCAGGGCAGCATTGAAGTTAGAGTAAGAGCATCGCCTAATGAAACTTCTCGTTTGCCTTGTAATCGTCCTGAGCTCACCGATCCTGCTGGTGTCATTATGGCCAAAATTTGGGTAACTACAAGTCCCGCAGAAGATGATGACGATGAGGTAGAAGGCGTTCAAACAGCTAGGATGAGAGAAACAATCCCTGTGAGATGTGCTTTAGATGAAACAGCTACTTTTGCTCTTAGTGAACGAAGACTAGATTTCAAGCTCGTAACCTACTATCAGGACAATGATAATAGAAGCTCTGATATCATGGATTCTGCGTGCATGCCAGAGAATCTGCCTCTTACAATTATCAATCATGCCAACAAGGTACCCTTACGGTTCAAGGTATCGGTGGAAGGCCCGGCTGAATTTCCGGCTAATGAAATTGTGATGATTTCTGGATTAAATGAAGATCGTTCTGGTACTGTAGAGCCTGGAGGAACCACTACTCTTTCAATTGCCATCTCTAACCCCAAAGAAAGCATGCCGGGACAGCTTAAAATTTATGTGGACGACTTGGATGCTTTCGGCGGATCAAGACAAACCGTTTCAATGTATGTTGATGAAATTGTGTGGGATTTGTAGAAACAGAATATAATATAGACTTCAAATAAAACAATAATCCTGATGTGTATGCGTTTTATAAAGTCTAATATGCCGTGATCTCCTGTCTATAATTATGGCAGATTAATAATCCACTAAAATTTCGGTTCATATCATAATCATTAATCCTTGGAAAACCAGTATAAAAAGATACATTGAAACGACATTTTGACTATCTGGATCTTGAGAGAAAACGAGTATTTCTATATTTTTTACTAGTAATCATGAAAATCTGTTGAACTCGATCCTCTCAACTTTGTAATTAAAACAAATAGCAAGTTGTCAGGTACATGCAGACTTTGTATGTAACACTGTCAGTTATTATAAATATCAATTGAAATACAAAAGAATAAATATCATCTATCTTTCATCTCTTACTTTATACTTTATATACACTTATTAAAACAACACAAAACTAACACATCTCTGCACACGACACTTTGACAAAATAAAAAGAAAAAGATGATTTAAAAAAGGTAACAAAGTAGTACCAGTGGGGTTCGAACCCACGCCCGCGTGAGCGGATCTGATCTTAAGTCAGACGCCTTGGACCACTCGGCCATGATACTTTCAGCTAAAATTAAAAAATTACAGGCTATATTATCAGTTAGATTATTTTTCTCTAATTTAAATTTATTTAATTGTTATTGCAATAAAATTGGGATCAATTTTATGTGAAAATAAAAAAAATAAAAAAAAA